TTGTCTTTGAGGTTCTCCTAAGCGGAAAGTGTGTCATAGAGTGAAAGTAGTAAGTTATAAGTGGGACTCTACACTTGGTCAACGAGCAGATAGCGGTGAACCCACCACTAAAATTCAGTAAGCTTAGATCAGATTCTTGTTAAAATTTAACAGTCCGTTGTAGCAATGTTTCGCCACTGTTGTTGACTAAGGTAGCCTCGATGTAGTTTCGTTGTATCCAAAAAATTTTATTTAAGTATTGGAAGCATATAAAAACGCAGTGTTATAAAGTTAGTCGTTAGGTAAAGTAGTTTTTTTTAATTCAATCATGTGGACTGTAGAACAAACATTAATATATCAAATTTTGTTTGCTAATGTCGTAATGGTATCCGACTGAGTGGATTGCGCGCCATTTTGAATCCTCCGGGCTCTGAAGAAGATGGAACCTCCGGAACGGTATCGGAATAAATCTTACTACTAAACACCTTATGTTTGCTTGTGAAGAAAACAGTAGGAACGTCTAACTACTTATATTTTCAGGAGCTTCTTTCTCAAGTGTCCTACGTGTTCACGAATTCAAATCCGTACCTTGACTATCCTCATCCGACTATTCATAAAAACGTTGATATCGGCGGCATCACAGTTTCACTCAATGACGAAAACAGCAAGATCCCAAAGGTACGATCTACTAGAGTTCAACTGAAATTGTCAATCCATTCAAATTCTCTTACTTTGCTGTTATTTTATCGCTTTTAGCAAGTAAATTTTATTGAGATTTTATGCTAAAAATTCCAAATTTTTTTTCAAAATGAAGTAATAGTGACGAAAAAGCTTTGTCGGTTATTATGTAATGAGTTATTTATTGTCATCAGTATATACTTGGAGACTTGGATGGAATGTACTCGCTAGTGGTGCAACCCCAGCAAAACTTCCATTTGTTTCCGTTTCGCGCTAGTCTCATCCATGATGATGATCTGCTTTAAGTATGGTGATGTCTGCAAGAACCATTACGACTTCCAAAAAGCGTTTCCATCTGCGAATGCAGATGGTTGGCGTTAGCCACAAACACGTCCACACATCGTTGGGTGGTGTTAAAATAAATCGTCTTTCTCAGAGTCGATGACCCGAGTCAATGTCCACAGTCTTCGTACACTCGATTTTGCACCTTCGTCGGCGTATCCAGTCGAATCTTCTTCGGTGGGACACCGCTTGAATAAAGCAATCACATTCAGCAATGCTCTTTTGTAGAAGACGATTATTGCTGCTGTGATCGTCCAGCGATAACAACTTATTCTTCACGGACAATCAGTCCTGCAAAGGTCGGCGTTAGATAAGCTTGCATCTAGCTTGTCAATGAAACGTCGTTTATTCTGTATTATATTCGTTATTATATTCGTAGATTGGATATCCACTTTATTCCTGTGAAGCTCTATTCAGAGAAGGTAAGGCGGAGAATATGTCTGCAACAATAAAAAGAACGTTTTGCATATTTGATAAGTTAAGAAAAGTCCAGTATTATTGTATCAGTTACACCTTGGCTGAAATTTGTATGAATTTCTATTCCTTCACATATTGACGGCTCGTACCAAAATGTCTCCTTATAGACTAAACCTTTTCGTAATTTCACAGTAAAGTGCTGGGATTAAAAATTAACCATAAAGACCTTTACTGATTTTCTGATTGTCGTTTGATCGATGAACTAACCCACAAAAATAATCGTCATGTACTAAACTTTCTCCTTTTCGCAGGACCCAGTAACTTCCCCAGGAGCAGATTCAGGAGCACCTTTCCACAGGGATTTCAGTAGAAATCCCGCATGATTACCATTCAACGCGGTTTGAGAAGACGGCAGACTCCTAAGGAGCAAATGAAACCATATACGAACGTAATCGTCTCGATGGATGACGTCTCTATTTCGAAGCAACGAGACCAATGAAATTAGTGTTGGGTTCCGCACTATTGCTTAGGACTCACTAGCTAAGGTTCTAAGTAGGCAATAAAGAGGAAGACTAGTCTACAGCTGAAGTACAAACACTGCGCAGAGCAAATCAGGTGACGTTAAACATTTTTGTGACTTTGTGAATCAACGATAACTTAGCTTACTACGCGGTAAAAGTAATACCTGAAAAACAACATCGTTTACACTATCAAACACTCAGATAATGCACGAATTTCTCATGTCCAGAAACCTCACATGCCATTCAGTTATCACCAGGTACTGATATGTCACTCACTCATCCATTTATCTACTCATTTTTATATAACTAGTCATCAAATCTACTATGCTGATCACAGCATTCGAGTGGATTCTCGTATCCGATTCCATTTTCTTACATTAGTCGTCCACAGAAGTCTTCAAACATTTCGCGTTTCCGCTAATGCTTAAGGATTTCGTCTCCTTTATGAATGTCCTATAATGTTGGTCCAGTCGATTCTCCTTTCCTGCGGCGATTGGAAGAAGACGTTGAGAGAAGGGTTAAACCAGTCAGCACCTTGTTTCTTGATGCACTATGTCACAGACCACTGTGGCACTGCGCAAGCTAACTAGCAGGATTTCATTAAAGAGTCGAAGAGGAGTCGGTAAGTGATTAGAGTGAACTCAAAAAATCTAGACCCGGTCAAGGTCAGTTGAGAAGAGACTATGAATCTGTGGGAATCCATGTTTTCACCAACTGGAAAACAAACAATATATGACAATATGTTTTGCAATGAGAATAAAAACTCCGCCAAATACATTGGATCTCGTCATCTTCCTACAAATCCAAATAACTTCATAAGGTGATCAGCTCGTTGTCACATTGTGAAAATTTTTTCACCGTTTTGTTTTGTTCACCATAGAGATTCTACCCTACGGATTGTTGAATGCTTTTAGATAAGAAATTAACATACTATTGTGATAATCACTAAATTTTCTCACCATATTGTTAACTGTTTTGATTCTATGGACATCCCCACTGGGACTGATCCCAACTAGAAAATTACGAAGATACCATAGTGAATCTCACCGTTTTGAGTAGGTTTCTATTCATTCATAATATATGAAGTCATTTCAGTGAGAGTGGCCCGTCACGCTGTGACCCTATTTTTCTTCTGTGTCACTATAAATATCAATTTTAACGTGACTTTTGCACTCGAGCGATCACAGAGGGTAAAAGTTTTTTTCTACATGCTATGGAATTGAAATAAAGTTTGTTTCAGAGTTTTGACGATATTCTTAACGAACGAAAGACGAATGTGATAGTTTCATTTGGAACTGTAATCAAATCGAGCTACATGCCTGTGAACTATAAGTATGTTTCTCGTTGGTGACTTCAGATGGACAGTTTTTAAGATCGAAGTTCACCCTACAAAATTTCTAGAGATAGACGGTTATTGGCTGCAAGCTCAAAATAAGACGCCTAATTATAATAAACCGATTATGTGGCAAGGCTCTTAAAATCTCTTTCTTGTCAGTAGTAGAGTATAGAGGAAATCTAACAGTTCGGTATTGTCATTGTCATTGGAAATTTCAAAGCTTTTATACTAAATGTTTATTAGCAGTGTCATTCACCACTTGCTCAGGAATGCGTTGTTTGATGTATTCAAGTCAATGCCAAATACGACATTCATTTGGAAGTACGAGGCAGAAGAATCATTGGAGCCATTAAGCCGGCCCTTTCCTAACGTTTATCTTAGCAACTGGATACCACAGAAATCGCTACTGGGTATGTCATTCGCGTTTGTTGCATTTTTGGCTGAAATTAGGTATCCAAGGAAAACGACATTTGTTGTTCCTTCAAAATGAATAGTGAACTCGTAACACCAAGTTTAACATGATAAGAGAATTCAGTATTTAACGCTTTATTGGAAATGTGAAATTATTTCCTATGCAAGAAATTGTTTGATAGATAACATTGGATCTGATCCTGATTAGCCTGTCTTTATGAATAACGAAGAGTCATACGGGCACCACTATAATTCGCTTCACCCGAAATTTTATGGTTTGGCAATGATTTTTTCTCTTGAGGCTCGAAAGGTGCACCAAAGCTTTCACAGTTCGTCACTGCTTAACAGCTGGCGAACATTTTATTGAGAGGTGGCGGTAATTCTTACAATGGTTTTCACTTAGCTGAGCATCGGGATGGTAGTATGGAACCGTTTCTTAGCGCGAAAAATTTCCTTTGGAATAAGTCATTACTGTAAACTGCAGAAACATGTTTCACCAATGATGAGGTAGTGAAGGGAGAGAGCCTTGCACGACCTAAGTAAATGTAGGCGATCCTGCAATTTGAATAACTACTTGATGAATACCTTATTATTAGCACAGCTTTATCATATACTAAAGGTTTAAGCACTTCAACTCGTGACGCTGATTGATGTCTGATTGACCTACATGGGAGTGGCCGGTCTTTTATGTCGAGCCTAGCACAACAATAACAAGCTCAATGTTTTGCTATCCTGAGATAGGCGCGGTCTTCATTTATCCGTAGGAATGCACTATTAAATCGACTGCATTAAGATTGTCGTGTGAATGAACGAATATATGGCCTATAAGCTGTTTGCAGCTGCCACCGGACGTATCAAATTAGCGTTTTTCTTTTACCCCGCACTTCTTTTGCAATAACCTCTGCGAACACAAACAAATGAGAAGCTTGGAAACTTGTGGTTGAGGATCGAACCAAAGAGCGTGTCAGTGGCTTTTCATACTCACGTAGCTCTAACTCTAATCTATCACAAAATGCCAAACTCCACCAATAGCAATAATGACAATAAAATTAATAGTAATGATGATAGTAGTGATAACGGTGATAACAATAATAATGGCCCGTTATTTTTACTTTCAGGTATTTTCGAGACAACTTGAATAATCATTGAAAGATTTTATTAGAGAAACACACGGTTATTATGCATGCCCGATTTAAATTGTTTCTCTCATTTTCATGAACGTTTAAAAGAGGAAAATTCGCGAGGAATTCTCTTCCATGACAGTCAAATTGGTACGGTAGTCTAATGATCAATAAATTTGAAATCTTACAGCTGATGCCCGAATTTCAACGTTTGTTACACACGGTGGACTTGGTAGCACAACAGAAATCGCCTATACGGGAAAGCCTGCAGTGATGTTAAGTGCTGAATTCGTTCAATACAACTATCATTGACACAATTTTAACATCGTATTTTTATTGAGCAAACGCGAGGTGTTACTATTCTTTGTTCACGATTAAGCTGACGTTTCGGCGAATTTCGCCTTCTTCAGAGCCTGGAAAGGTCAAGCTGATAGCAACTCACCCGGCCAGACGCCTCCATAACCAAACAAAGAAACTCCAAACCAAGATTTCAATCACTTTGAACACAGCTCTGCACACTCACCGCTTTCTATGAGGTTTCCACTAAGTATGTCACGTAGAGACCAACCGCAAAGAAATCACGTGGAAGTATAATGTGCCCCTCATGTGAGGGCGTCTGGCCGGGTGAGTTGCTATCAACTTGACCTTTCCAGGCTCTGAAGAAGGCGAAATTCGCCGAAACGTCAGCTTAATCGTGAACAAAGAATAGTAACATCTCGCGTTTGCTCAACAAAAATACGAAGAAAATCACTTGATCAATGCCGAGGTTAATAGAAAGTCGGTCGTGACAATTTTAACTTATTATTTACTGCCTACTCTTTTTAATGACAGGGTACATTACGAAATAATAACTTCAATGATGCTGAGATATTGGCAAAACTCCGTACCGCAGGTGTTTCGGTGGGGAACGAACAAGCTATTACACTTTCCGGCGGCTAACGCGTTCACCACCACACCAACTTATATTGATCACAATCTTTTTCACTTTATTAGATTTTCACATAGTATTTTCAAAACGAATTCCTAACAGTTTGGATGGCTTTCAATATGGCCATTTTAAAGCGAGGGCGATAATCAAATCAAGCTGATGTTAAGAACAAGTTAAAGAAGAAATCCAGAATATTACAAAGTAGTATGCACGAGATCAATATGATAAAAAATTTCTATGATGCGCAAGATGTTTTGCTGACGACGGAACTGGTTTCTCGTTTTAAGTTCCGCTGTTCTGTGATCAAAAACGAAACGCCAATATGCTAGCGAGACACGGCGGCGCAATTGTGCTCGAGAAACATGAGTTGGCGAATTCCACTAAGATCGCCGAAGCAATAAACACGGTCCTAAAAGACAAGAGGTTTGTTGGTCCACTCATTCAAGCAATACCACTACTTCCTGAGAGGAAATTCAAGTTTTCCACCAATTATAAAGTTTGTGAAATGATACATGAAGCATTTATAGCTATTCTATGAACGCTAGAAAACTCGCCAAGATGCTTGCTAACCAGCCAATCAGCGCTAAACAATTGATGATACGACATGCAGAATTTGCAGCTCGGTAAGCGACGCTACATCGTTGAAAAATAGAAGATAAATTGCTTTTGCATAACTTGAGTTGCCATATTTTGAGTTTTCCTTTCGAAACAACGGAAATTCAGTACATGAGAACTTGGTTCAGACAAGGACAGGCAATTATTAGGATGAAACGATGGCCAACAAAATGTTTCTATCAGTCACTTGCTCTTTTTTAGTTCTGTGTTACGTCTCCTTATCCGTTTTTTTCCTGCTTTGAAGTGACGAGACAGCCACAGTGGAGCAGTGCCACCTCTTCACACAGTCTAGGAATAAAAATATCTCATTGCTCCTTAATTTGGATAGTTCTATCGGTAAAATTGAATTTTTTGGTGTATGAGTTTGCACTGAAATTCGACATCGAGGACTCATCACGTGACTAAGCGATCGATTTTACAGGATTTGCTTTATCGCACTTGGGTCACGTAGAGTCGGAGAATCAGTGATAGGTAGATGGCTCAAACTCATATGCCGCCTTAGAATCAGGACTCGATTCACTTCGCGCTTTAAAGCTTTGCTTTATAGCTATTGCTAACTTAGACACCTAGATAGATCGCCCAAACTCACATGTGGTCTGGAAGCCAGCACTGGACTTGCTTCGTGGTTTCGTAAGCGCCGGCATAAAAGTGCTCTGGCATTTTTTTAAAAATTTTGATTGGACTGGACATGTCGATTTGACTGAGTGTGGCTTCTACTAGAATCTCAGTTTTGTCGTGTTAGAGCCTTATTAGGCAACCACAGCAAATATTTGCTAGCCCTTTTGGATGGGATGAGAGTTAGCCTTCTTCTGGCTGGAATCGATTGCTGCGATTACTTCAGTTACATCGAGCGGTGTAACATTCGGAGTCTAGTTTTTCTTCTAATTTTAAGAAAACCAGTGATGCATAGATGACATCCAAATGACCATGCGAATGAAATGTGAAGAACGACATAGCCGTACATGAACAAAGATAGGCTGAAACAACTGACACGGAGAAAGAGAAGTACAGGATATGAACCGCAGGTTGGAAAATCGCCCGTTTTTTCTGGAGCTCGTGACTCATATCACTTTAGCGCTTTTGTGCAAAGACCCGCATTCCTAACACGAAAGCAAGTGAACAAGGGGAATTCTGTCCATCACGAGACGACGATATTATCAATGAATCGTTTTTGTTTGTAGTTGCTACTCTTGCATTAGAAGTTTCAAAAATTAGATTTTTTTTAGATTTTTGGAATTTGTTTCTGCTAAAGTGAAATAATGTTGCCTAAGATTATACGAGTGATGAAGTAAGTCTCACGTATATAATTGGGTAGTTTAAGCTCTCCAAGTTCCCAATTTTCCAGAACTTATCGTCGTTTAATGAAAACCAGTTTCGAGTATGATGTACTAACTGTGCTTAGTTAACTTGATAGAAATAGAGAAAAATTGGAATGAAAAACTGGAGAAGGGAGCAAAAAAAGAAGAAGACAGAAGTAAACGAAAGAACGTTTTTTGAACGTCTAAACGTTCCTTGTTGATTATTTGTTCTTTTGTCTAGCTGAGATCTTCACACGTGGTGCTGAATACAAGCCCTGCACAGTCGATCTATGGTGCTTCTCATTTCGTTTTACTTCGTGTATTTCTATGATGGAGTTTCTATCTGGAAGCTTAGCTAAGAGCAAACCAGCACCACGATTCAACACGGTCCTGGCATCTAATTAGTGGCATGGTGGCAAATCTCCCACTAATCCACAAGGGCTGCGACTACATATGCTAGCGAAGACTTGGGACGGTCTTTGGCTAGGCTGACCTCGGGATTCCAGGGAACCGCAATGGTTTAACTAGCAAATCTCCGAAAAATGGAGATTGTGCTAGGGCCCGCACAGCCAGTGAGGACGGTTCGTTCAGGTATCAAGTATCAAGTAAGTAATTCTATGATAGCTTTGGAAGTGCTCTCTGATTCTCTTGAATAGAGAAGCAATGGACGTTTTGGAGTTCATGGCTAGCAGATCCATGTCATCAGAAAACAAAACAGTCGCAGCGGAGTTTCTCTGTTTAAGTTCCCTGCCATATTATAACAGTAAACTTATCAGTGGGTTCACTTCATCAGAATTTGTTCTCGATAAGGTGATTCAACAGAATTTGAAGTGGCCTGTAGTCTTGAGAAGGCTTGATTAAGGGTCCTTTGCTTAACTTTGTAACACTCTAAATTTACTAAATTTAAAACGCCGGGGAGTTCTACTTCTTTTCGTACGTGTTCTCTTTTGGTTCCCTACCAATGTCAACCTGAAAATCCTCAATTTGACACACTCTTTTGTTTTGTTCCATCAACTGATGTGGTGAGGCCGAAAACGCGAATAACAGCGTTATAAAGCCAGTTTTTTGCCCTTTAAGCAGGTCCTCCTTTGTCCACTGTGTTGGAAAATCGATAAAATCAAAGGTATCCTTATTCGTCATTATAGACCGTCGATGATAAGTGTTTATTGTGCTTTGTTTTCATTACGTTGAGATTTCATCTTTGTCAAACCTACGGTATTTCAGGTATTAAGTACTATAAGATCGGTAGGAAATGTAAACGAAATCTTGATTGAATTAAGAGATGAGGCAAGCACATGATTTTTTGTTACCAATTTATCGGTTTCTAAACAACCCAATTTACGTGGGGTAAGGCACAAATTAGCTTGAAAATATAGTTAATTATAAAATAGAAAACCCCATGGAACGTAACGAAAAAGGGAATTTCAGGTTTGGACGAGTTCCAAATCTGGATCCGTACGGTCGTCGGCTTTCAATAGTACAGTACTACCTGATCGACGTCATGTTCATCGTTGTTGCATCGATAATCACCGTCTGCTATTTGGCTTACCGCATTCTCAAAACACTGCTGCAAATTCGAATTTGTAAACAAAAACGGGATTAAGAAATGACATACTTTTAAACTGAAGTTTAATTAGCGTCGTTTCTCTGTGTCATTTTTATGGATTGATTTGTTTTTCTACATACCGTTTTCTTTTTTTTATACATAATAATTATGGCTCACCCTTGAACCAAATAAAATATAGCGGCAAGTGCAATATCATAAAGGATCTAAAATAATCTGTTCGGTGTTGATGAATTTCCTCAGATGAGCGATATGCATTTAACTCCAATAAGCGCTACAAACCTTAAAAAGCTCATAAACAAGATTTCATGCCCATTAGGCCTATACAATAAATCTCGAGGTCTATCGATGATTTTGTCTTCTTAGACACGTCTGCTACCAATTTAGCGACTCAGGAGAGAGAGTGAACAGTGAGACCTGTTTGGCTAAGGGCGTGACATCAAACCAACGACCAACTGCCCAATATGGCATTGGCAAATATGTTTTTGTTTTTTGACAATCAAATAGAAGGGCGTTACACAATTTTTGTTTATGTCGGCAGTCCTCGCTGTGAAGTGTACCCACTTAAATTCCAACTACTCTTTGCCAAGTACCGAGCATCACACTTTTCCCTTCCACCAACACAATTTTTAAGCCGAATAGCGGTCTGGAGCGGTTTAACAGCAAGCAGTTATGTGTTATCAAACTCGCCATTATTCTTTTTACTTCTTTTTACTTGTATTTCACTATAGTCACCTATAAATATGAAGCAGTGCTACCAGCTAATTTCTCTTCTAAATTTGCTTTGTGTGAAACGTTTACGATTTCGTTTGGTTTATTTCAAAGAACACTAGAGTAAGATGGAAGAATGAACGTGGCAGACAAAGCAAATGATCGATGTGAGTGTTTCTCTTGTGGCAAGGCCATAATGGCAAAAATAGGATGTTGGGCAAAATCTTGGTCATTTTCGTGTCATCGGTGAAGCATGTTCCCATGACTAGATAGGTTAACTGTTAAGTCAAATGTCTGCATCAAAAGTAATGTTAACCACTGCGCTGTATTTTTATATCATCACAGGTGGTTACAGACGGACAGAAAAAAATTTAGGTGCACTACATCTAGTAGGCATAAAAAGCCTTCGTTCAGTCAATGCAATCGTTTCTCAAACACAAATGCCTCCACAAATTAAGACTCGAATCACGGTTCGAGACTGAAGAATGCGTGTTTAACTCTTACGGCCTTTATACTGTTTAAATTCTAAGACACTACGCGGCATAATAATTATCCATCCGTAATCTCCTTTAGTGTCTGATATTCAGCAATTTTAAATAACAGGTAAGCTACGGGACATCACGCTTAGTGGCATGTAGCAAGCTTGTATAATTTGAGCCAGCCTGAAATAGTTACACCCCAACACAATTGTCATGCAAAACTGCGCAGGATCGATCGCCTTTTGAACGTTGAGCGTCTGCTCATAGAATTCTTTTTCTGAGTTCTTTCATACGATATATAAATTCTTCGTCCTGCTCTTTTGAACTTCACTCTTACGCACTTTCGTTTATGCCGCCAAGTTCTGCTAAGCACACTTTGCTGGTACATGGATGAATGGGAATCTCACCTGAATGAGTGGTTCTGGCACCATCAGAATTCCCATCTTACTACCGATTTACTGGTCACCAGGTCTTCTTCTCATAGAATACTTGGAAAGTGGCTCCAGCTCGTTTCCGTATGCAGTCACTTAACTAGAAGCAAAAAGAAGTTTGACGATATCCCACTAGGTGTTTTGGTAGGGGATTATTCATAGCAGTTCGATTTCTGAATGAAACGATTACTTCATTGTCATACTGTCCGTCGCATATGACGTTCAGGTGTAATCCATGGCCTTGGTGAAATATAAATTATCAGAGGGCGCGGATGACCTAATAACTTTTTTTGTCACTGAATTATTATTTACTCTACTTCACATTTTCTCATATTAAGGATCTTTGTGTTCTTTGGCAAAAGAAGCACAAAAATCACTCACAGAAAGGAATATAATCTTGCTAGGCTACAATGATATATACTAAATTAATTTTTGTTAGGGAGTGGATAGCGTAATGGCAGTGATACTGTTCATGACGCGACCAACCCGACATGTACACGCACAGGCCCAACCCCATCCCTAGCCAACCAAGTATCTCATCTACCCGGTGCTTAGGAAAATTGGTACCAGACTTGTCTGAAGCAAACCCATGCGCTCTTGTCTACCTGGGAACGCCCTAGTACGGCCAACTCAGGATGCCAGGAAGAATCAACTAGGCTGGCATTCAACGACATTTGTCACGAAGTCGACAAACTCCCCAAGCAGGGGAGCCCTCAGCGAAACCCCCAGCAACTCCACATGCGTAAAAATTGAAAACCTTGATGAAAGATGGATTCGAAGAAAATGACTGCCTACAGAAACAGCTGGGATCCACAATTTGTGACACATGTGATTTCGTACAATTGAATGAAAAATAAAAACAAATCCACTGTTCTCCTTCGATAAGCAAACACAAGGTTGGTATTATGGAATTTGTTATCGTACAATAGCTGACGTTTCGGCGGTTTCGCCTTCTTCAAAGCCTAGAAATATTTTTTCTAAGTATTCCAGTTATTGGTGTAGAGCAGCTGCACAGAATAATACATGGGCAAGGAGTGTGCCTGGAACAGATTATAAAATCAGCTTGTGGTATGGCGGGAGGTCATGCCTGATAACGAAGCACTTCTCCCTAAAGTTCATCTTTGGTTTTTTGGAAAAGAAAAAAAATTTTTTTGATAATCGTGCATCCACGTTGGTCACACTTTCAAGCCGAGATTATCAGTGACTGCCGTTATAACACAAGTAAGTCATGGTGGGAAAAATCATCTAGTTTAAATCGTACCGCTGGCATTAAAGATATCAGGATTAAAGCAGGATATCCTATAGCTTAATGGATTTCAAAGCAGATTTCGATGAACTGGCAAATTGATGATTGAGCGTACGTGTTGTTGAGCTCTCATTCCATTATTCCATAACGTCCATGAAGTCCATAAAGTCCATAAAGTCCAGTGC